AAAACAATCATAAACATAACGTAATGTGGCTTTTTCATGCGTCACACCCTAGAAATACATCAGTAAAACTGAAACCAAATGTTGAGAATAGAAAATAATATCAAAATAATGTAAGTAAGGTACTAGAGTGAGTTAGTCAATTTAAACTTGTGCTCAGGTCGTGCTTTAGTGGTCGTTACCGGTTTGACTGTACTGTTTTTAACAATCAGTTTTTTCCCTTTCTACAAATTATGTCTGACAGTTTTGAAATTTATGCATTTTGTAATCTTTTGTTTTACATTATCTTCGCTTCGTACTTGAAAGTTAATTGTGTTTTTTTGTAATCATTGGTTTGTTAATAAAATGGAACCTGTGTTAAATGGACGCCCACAGTGACCTCTCTAGAGTCGAGTTCTTTTTACTAACACATGTTCGTTCACAGAAAATTTGAAAGGAAAATTTTGGGACTTGCTGGCACTTGAGATCGCTTAGTACAGAGCCATCGTGCTGTATCCATTATTTGTGCTTTTGAAAACTGTCCTTTGGTATGCTTTTTAATATGTTCCTTTCTCTGGTTCCATATATTAGTTGCTTGCGTAATGACTGTCTGAACGATACTACATGCCGCATGTGGCACGACGACATTCTTTGGCAAGAACTGAATCCTTCAAGACTGAGTTTTTTTAGCCTTTCTTGTGCAAATTAAAGTTTTTGTTATTGAAACCTAACTGAGATTATTTGATTTAAACAAGAAAGGAAACACGAAATGAAGTCTGGTGGTTGTAGCCAAAAGACATCCAGGCGCGTAGCTGGGGTTTGAGAAGGGGTGTTCCCACTGATAGGAATATTTCTTAACGGCGGGAAATACTGCTAGCGCCAAAGGCGCGAGCCTCTAGGTGTTTCTTGGGGCTAATTGTTCCCCAGAAAATATTGAAATCTAGAAACCTGGAAATGCTATTTTCAGTAGTCTCCAAGTGAATATTTCAAACTCGATCAAGTCTAAAATAACAGGTTTTTTTTGGTCATAACAACAATATTTCCGTTTGACTTGGAACATTCATACATAGTGATACATACCGGCTAAGTACGTACACGAAACGTTTTACAAAACTCGACGTGTGCTGCAAGGTTTCTCGGAGCAAAAGCTTAATATGTCCTCCAAAATCGTATTCCCCGCCTTTCATCTTTCGAGACTCCATTTGTCAAATCCGGAACGCCTGTTAAGGAAATATCTTCAATGGTGGGATTATTTTGACCACATATAATACTAGGTCACTAGGATATACTGGGGCAACAATATGGGCTACTTAATTATCTACTCACAACAGGACTATTCTTTTTCGTAAAGCAAACTTTGCAATTGCATCATCCTAGGGTGGAGACCTTCAAATAAATTGACGATTTCGTCCAGATCGATAGGCATATCTATACTTCATGTAAGGCTTTCGAATTTCATTTGTACTCAAACTCCTAACACTTTTTATTTGTGCCCATAAGACTTTCCCGATGCTGTTAACGTTTTCTTACAGGGTAATTTAAACTGAGCTAAAACACTCAAAGTTTGTTTTCCATTCCTCCACTATTTGCTACAAGCTGAAAATTAACAGCTTGTGTTTTTAGTCCTCCATCATTGACCTGCAAAGGGGGTCGATTCGAACCCCTCGAACCCCCCCCCCCCCCCCCCCCCCCCCCCCCCTCCTACGCGCCTGACATCCCCGTGGAAATTTGATACGTAGCTTACCAACAGGCAAAAAGTTAAGTTATGCCATGGGCTCTTGGTTATTCTAAGATTTGCAAGTACGTTTTTAAAGAAACGTATATGAATTGTTGAATGCTATATGCATTACGTTGACCAACGGGTACAAAGTGGACTGTATTTACCTCATAAGTGATTTTACTTTTCCTTGATAAAGCTTTAAGTACGTTTTACCTACTGTCTGTCTACTGTGTGAGACTTCGGTTAAACTTAAACCTTTAGACAAGGAAAATAGTCCCGATCGTCTAAGAAGCCTTAATACAGAAGCCATGTATTGATATTGGAAGACGCAAAATTCGTTTTAGTTGAATTAAAAACACAGGCACAGAAAGTCGTTCTTGGAATTTTCAAAACATAGCTTGAAGCAGTGTTACAGGGGCAGTATCCCGAGAATTTCCCCCGTTTTCGTTTTTAACTGCTTCAAAACAACAGAAAAAATACAACTTCATTCTCCAAGGACTACAAGGTGTAAAAAAACACAAGAAATTGAGCAATTTTCCTATTTCATTCTGTCAAAGCTAGAAACGTCATACGACGTCGAGAGTTAAGGGTTAGGGTTAAGGTTGGGGTTAGGTTAGGGTTAGGTTGGGGTTAGGACTAGGGATAGGTTAGGGTTAGGTCGGGGTTGGGGTTAGGGTTAGATTGGGGTTAGGGTTAGACGTGCAGTCTCAACTGATTTCAATGGTCATAACACATGACTTGATCCACTGAGTTAAACGTTCGCCTTGTCAGGAAAAGGGTGTTACGTTAAGCTGGTTAGGGTGGATAGCTAAAGTTGAGCCAAGGTTAGGGTTAAATAAGGATAAAGGTTACAAACAAGAAGTACGGTTTGCTGCGGGTTAACGTTTGAGAGACTTCTGGGTAGGATACCAAATTACGTTGCGTTACATATCAATTACATCGCCGTACTGAGCGTAGAATTGAATTTCAAAAGACGGGTCAGGAGGTGAGAAATACAGAGATGTAGTTTCAATACAGGCGATTTTCGAAGACTTATCATTGGTCAAGCAAATAGTTTTAAATTAACGTTATCTTACAAGACGTTTCGCTTCGCTTTCTTCGTGTCTGACCACAGTAGAGCAGAGCACAGATAATATAAACATTTTAGAGAGTAAATATTCCAGCTCCGACGGGCCGAGTAAAACCTACGGCCACTTCTGAAAGAAAAGAACAAAAGGAAAACCTTGTTTAAAGAAAATTCCCCAACACGTGTTTAAAAAGTAATATATCTCTTCTACACCATTTTCCCTAGATCAGTTTCATCCCGCAATGGTTTTACGATCGGTACCGGTGCATAAAGCAGAAAAACATTGTACCGGACATTCCGGGGAATCAAGCATAAACGGCGCTCGACGTCGCGACGGTGCTATAGCTCGGGAACTTTAACATGCTGTAAGGAAAAATAGTTACTCTTCCACGATCCGATCAGCATTTAGCTTGCAATGCCAACAATAAATTGAAAATGAACGACAATTCCGCCAGTGCAGTAGGACGGCTGCTCTTTTTGGACACAGTAAATTTCCAGAGTCGCTCGACACATGATCAAAAATAAACCTTCGCTATACGAAACCAAACTTTGATTTCAACTACACTTTCACGACTTTGTAACATAACCTTTCCTGGCAAAAAGCCTGCTTCTCACCGTTGTTGCTCACTTATTCAAAGATCAGCACGTCCGTCGTAGAAACTGAAACACAACAACAGTCTCACTGTAATAGTCAAATATTAAACATGTTTTTAACCTTTCTCGCAATGCATTCTGGGAAATCCGTGTTCAACTCGTGCGGCACACATCATATCCTGGCAATAACAAGACAATTTATAACAAGTCTCCAGCAACGCAAAAATCACAGCCAAAAACTTCATTGGCCCTCTTTTCTTATGTCCAAACTAACCAATTTGCCCCTTATTGCCCGCTGGAGACTTAGCTGGGTAGAGACGTTATACACCATCCACCGGTTGGTCTCTCGGATTGTGTTCAAACTCGGCTAAAACTAGTCCACGTTTCGCACGAGCTCCGATCAAAACCTCTCCGCTCACGAAGAGAACCGTTGAAAGGAGGAAGATACCGCGCAAACTCGAACCTTTCAAAACTAGAACCGGTTCCCCGCGGACATAAAAAAAAACCAGAAGTCGTTTCTAACGCAAGTGAAAAGAAAACGAGAAATGAAATAAGTAATAAACTTACTTCTGTTGACTGCCACGCTGCTCCTCCCTGGTTTTCTTTAATGAAAATATATCTATGTTAAAAAATGACATTTCATGAAATTAATTTATATATATATATATATACCGTAATTTTTAGGGAGTAATTATTACTCTAAACATGGAGTAAAAATTTTAGGTTCAGGATAACCCCTTTTTGGGGGCTATTTTAACTTCTCAATATCTGGGGTAACTTTTACTCCTGAAAAAGAGTTCTTTAAACTCCTTTTTGGAGTTAAAATAACTCGCCCAAAAATAACTCCACTGTAAGGAGTTAAATTAGCCCCACTAGAGGAGTTATTATAACTCCTTGAAAATTACTGTGCACCTGATCGATTTTTGGCGCGTTGCGCTAAGATAATTAAATATTCTCAAAAAAATTGACAAACGGCATGAAAAAAATGCAAATCAAAAGACTGGAAGCTTGTATAAACCCGACGGCATAGCGTTTCAGTCGAAAATAAAACGTTTAAAAAAATCGACTAATTAATAGAAATAATTGAACTGAGCTGCTCTGGGCATGGATTTATACTCGTCATTACTTCTAGTGCCCGTAAAGTAGATCATGAACGAATTGCCCGGCTAAGGTGTTTCCTTCACAGTTCAAAAATATCCCACGTTAGGCGAATTGTCTTTATCAGAGCCACAAATCAGGTGTGTGGCTCTTTTCTGTGTCGCTTCTATTGCGGCTTTAACGTACTTGATGAAGTATGGGTTCCAAATTAGGCAGGCCTCTTAATGACTAAATCTAAGTGTTAGTGTGACTTTTTAACCTAACTTATGTCCCAAGAGTGATTTTCTCATATCAGTCTCAATGCTTAATAAGGAAGAAAGGTTACGAGAATCAAGAACATGATCAGAAAATGGAAAATGCTTTGATTTTTCCATACATTTTTGCATTTAAATTTCAAGGAAGATCAGTTCGAAGAATTTGTACGTGGATCAGATATTGAGAGTTAAAGAAGCTTTTTAACGGATGACGTAGTATTTTACATTAGCTCGGTAGAAATCAGCCTAATATCAAATGTTGTTAAAATCAGTAATTTGCTTCTGTTTTTAGTCTTTCAGGAAAGCTGAAGGTAAACATGAACTAAACGACAAAACCTCCAGTTATAACCTCGGAGTTGCAGCTTATGCACGCTGTGATTTCAGAAGTGCCCGAATTTACTTCGAGTTAGCATTGAATGAAGCCAAACAGGCGGGGAACAAGTACATAGAAGGCAGAGCATATAACAGCCTTGGTATGGCGTATGACCGTCTCGGTGATCATAAAAAAGCAATCGAATTTTATCAGCAGTCTCTTAGTATCGCAAAAGAGATTGGAAACAAAGGTTCAGAGGGCAAAGCATATGGCAATCTTGGCAATGCGTATCTGTCTCTCTGTAATTATAAAAAAGCAATCGAATTTTATCAGCAGTCTCTTACTATCGCAAAAAAGATTGGAGAAAAAAATACAGAGGGCAGTCTATATGGCAACCTTGGCAGTGCGTATGACTTACTCGGTGACTGTAAAAAAGCAATCGAATTTCATCAGCAGTCTCTTAGTATCGCAAAAGAGATTGGAAACAAAGTTTCAAAGGGTGCAGCATATAGCAACCTTGGCATTGCGTATCGCTGTCTCGGTGATCATAAAAAAGCAATCGAATTTCATCAGCAGTCTCTTAGTATCGCAAAAGAGATTGGAAACAAAGGTTCAGAGGGCAAAGCATATGGCAATCTTGGCAATGCGTATCAGTCTCTCGGTAATTATAAAAAAGCAATCGAATTTTATCAGCAGTCTCTTACTATCGCAAAAAGGACTGGAGAAAAAAATACAGAAGGCAGTCTATATGGCAACCTTGGCAATTCGTATGGCTTACTCAGTGACTATAAAAAAGCAATCGAATTTTATCAGCAGTCTCTTAGTATCGCAAAAGAGATTGGACACAAAGGTTCAGAAGCGAGAGCATATTGCAGCCTTGGCAATGCGTATCATTCTCTCGGTAATTATAAAAAAGGAATCGAATTTTATCAGCAGTCTCTGACTATCGCAAAAGAGATTGGAGAAAAAAATACAGAAGGCAGTGTATATGACAACCTTGGCAGTGCGTATTTCTTACTCGGTGACTGTAAAAAAGCAATCGAATTTCATCAGCAGTCTCTTAGTATCGCAAAAGAGATTGGAAACAAAGGTTCAGAAGGTGCAGCATATACCAACCTTGGCAGAGCGTATCGGTCTCTCGGTAATTATAAAAAAGGAATCGAATTTCATCAGCAGTGTCTTAGTTTCGCCAAAGAGATGGGAAACAAAGGTTTAGAAGGTACAGCATATGCCCACCTTGGCAGTGCGTATCACCGTCTCGGTGATCATAAAAAAGCAATCGAATTTCATCAGCAGTCTCTTAGTATCGCAAAAGAGACTGGAAAGAAAGGTTTAGAACAATGTGCATACAACAATCTTGGTCTTATTTTTGAAAAGCTTCGTGATTTCCGTAAGGCTGAAGGGTGTTTTGAATCCAGTATAAAAGTGTTTGAGGAGATGAGATTTCTTCTTCAAGAGAAAGATGAATGGAAAATCAGCTTTCGGGATAAATTAAAAACGTACAGTTGTTTGTGGATTAGTCAGTTACGACAAGGAAAAACCAAAGAGGCACTTTTAACAGCTGAGAGGGGACGAGCGCAAGCTCTCGCTGATCTCATGGAATCACAGTATGGCGCAAAATCAACTCCATCAGCATCAAAAGAGCAGATTGAAAGAATAACTAACATTTCAAGCGTTATTTCATCGCCTACGACATTTCTTGCGGAAGCTTTCGAGTCAGTGTTCTTCTGGGTGTTGCAAAAGGACCAAGAATGGCAGTTTATTATGGGTAGAAAACTCAGTTATACCTTGGAAGATATGACTGACAAAGCATTCGAACAAATTCGTGCTACTAAACCTGCCAGGTGCGAAGACCGTTCATTAGATTATCCAGACAACGAATCTATTGAAGATTTATCCGATAGGGATGCCAATGAAAAAGAATTTACATCGTTACAAGCGGGGGGTGATGCTTTAAAGGAATTGTATGATGTGGTTATTGCTCCGATTTCACCCTTGTTAAAAGATGAGGAACTTATCATTGTTCCTGATGGTGCATTATTCTTGATTCCTTATGCTGCCCTTCTGGATCAAAATTCCAGGTATTTGTCTGAAACGCTGAGAGTTCGATTGGCTCCGTCACTAACAAGCTTAAGGCTGCTGTCAGAATGTCCAGAGGGGCGCCATTGTACATCTGGTGCCCTACTAGTTGGTGACCCGTGGATTGAGACTGTGCGCCTTAAAAGCGGAGAAAAACTAATAAGATATTTCCAACTCCCTGGCGCCGAAGAGGAGGTAAAAATGATTGGACAGATATTAAACGTTGAGCCTCTCACTGGAAAGGACGCTACAAAAGAACAAGTGCTAAGCAGGCTAAAATCAGTTTCTTTAGTTCACATTGCAGCTCATGGTTCTGAAGAAAGGGGTGAAATTCTGTTGTCACCTAATCTGGGCAGCTCTGAACCTCCCGAAGAGAAAGACTTTCTTTTCACCATGACAGATATGTTGGATGTAAAATTGAACGCCAAGCTTGTTATCTTGAGCTGCTGTCACAGTGGGCGAGGAGAGGTCAAGGCTGAGGGCGTGGTTGGTATTGCACGTGCTTTTTTAGGAGCCGGTGCGCGTTCTGTTATTGCGTCACTTTGGGCGATTGATGACGAAGCCACTCTGGCGTTTATGAGACACTTTTACGAGCATTTGGTCAAGGGGCAGAGTGCAAGTAAATCGCTTCATGAGGCCATGAAAATGATGCGAGAGTCAGACGACTTCAATGCCGTGAAGTACTGGGCGCCATTTATGCTGATTGGCGATGACGTCACTTTAAATTTCGACCAATGAAGGTCAGGTTCTTTGGGAAAGTTTAGTTGAAAATGTTATTGAGTCAATGAAACGCAAAAAGACAGTGTTAAAAGTACACAAGTTGATAATAGTTATAAGATAAAGAATAATTTCGGATGTAGAAGATTAAAATGGAATTACCACGAAATTTTTTAATGTGACAAATTTATATGAAATAAATCATATATGAGAATTGCCGAAAATGAAATCAAGTGAAGAATGATCCTCGCGGTTGTGAACGCAATATATGCAGTTGCGTAAGAGAAGCCTGAAAAAAATTCAGAATTTCAACGGGATTTGAACCCGTGGCCTCGCGATACCGGTACGACGCTCTAACCAACTAATCTATGAAGCCTATGATGTTGTGATCAGGTCGCAAGTGACAACTGCGAGGATCATTCTTCACTTGATTAAATTTTTTAGGTTGCAACAAACGTTGCTGAAGTTTGGAGAAATATAAGAATTTTGTATTTGAATGTTTTATTCCCAGTTTTCGAAATTATAATATTAAGCCCTCCGGAGAGTTTAAAAAAGAGGCTTTGGAAATCCAGGAAATGACCTACCTTGGGGTAATTTAAGAAGCTACCCGTATTTTTTACCCTGAAGACCCTTATACAATATGACGAACTCTACCTTGGTCGCTTGCAGACTGGGACACAAGTAAAGGAATAAAAACGAAAGCAACCATGAACTAATGACATTCAAAAATTTCTCTTCATTTTAGCGCACGAAGTCATCTTTTGACGTTACAACCTTTCCCGAATCATCTATACTCGTAACATCCAGTTCTACACGTTCATATCACTGAGGACTCAGATAAATACTGTTTTCAAAATAGATATTGTTAAATTTTTAGATAACTGTGGAATGCCAGTTTTTGTAGATAACGTTTCTTCACTTTTTTACTTGTCGCTTCCAAACCCCTTCCAGATAGAGAAATGATGTATTTGTTCCAGTCTTCGTTTGTTTTATCCATTTTTATTTGATAGTTAGTCTTTTGAGAAGAGAAATTTCACTAACATGTAACTCACCTAAATGTCACCTTTTTCTCCTTAAGTCGCCTAAAGTCGCCTTAAATCGCCTTAAGTCACACAACATTTTGACCAAATTTTCCTAAAGTCGCCTTAAATCGCCTTAAGTCGCCTAAAATCACGGCGATTTAAGGTCCCAAAGTAGACCTGAAAGAAACTCAGACTTTCTGAATAAGTCACAATTGGACCGTCCTTCTGCATGAATTTTTTTCTTTACCTTCTTCTTTGCATGAATTTGTTTTCTTGGCATTTTCCCTTGCATGAATTTTTTTTTGGTTTTCCATCACTTTTCTAATGGTCCGTCCCTAAATTGTTCCTTTTAGCAACTGATAAACATGTGAATATTGCAGAAAAGAACTGTTAAGCGGGGTTTTACTGTTATGAGAGTTAATGTGACTCGGAAAAAATTGTCCTTTGTCCGTATTAGGCGGGTCATTCTTAGAGAAAACTTATAAACTTTTTGTTGGGACACTCGAGACTGTCTCTTATATCCGGGTGTCCGTACCTTTCAGTTATTTTTAGACACATTTCAGTTATATGTAGATATATGTGATCCTCTAGATATTTGTGACTAGACAGTTAAGGCTGAGCTCAATTTCTTTACCTATATATAATTAATTTAAGAACTGCAGCCTCTGATTTAGAACGTTTTACTATACGTGGTTTCGCTTTTGTTAATTCAGGAAGGTTTCTTAGAAGTGTGAGGAAAATTCCATTTCCGGTTCATTTGTCAAACATATTGCGTGACACATGGAATAATGTTATACGGAAGATGCGGGTTCATGAAGAGTTTAAAGCGTCCATGGAATGAGACTTATTGTACTAAAAATGAAGCGGGTAAGTGTCAAAAACTCATAATAGAGCGAAGGGTACACAAGTGAGACTTGGCAAAGCATGTCGAAGTCTAGTGGTGTTTTGCCCGAGTCGCAGCCCGGGGTCACGTTAGTCTTTGCAGCCATGATTGCTGGCATGTGGTATGTTGCGTTTCTTGTTGCTTTTTCTTTACATCGGACTTCACTACAGGGGAATTTGGTCGCTCTAAAAGTTTATTACAGATTATTATAGTGATAAGTGGTGAAAATATGTGCCGTTTGATTCCGTAGCGGTGAGTTCCGTTTTGCCTGTCTCCGTGATGTAAGACATTCCAACATGGCGGAAGGCGAAATTGTGCTCACTTTAAGAAGTATTTGCCAAAAAAGTACGAAAGATCCCAAACAAATACAGTTGTAGAAAGTTGAAACTATCTTTAAAGATGACCAAAACGTTTCCTGGTGAGATTCGTTGCGTACCGCGACATGTTCTGACTTGTTGTTTGGACCAGCCATTCAACCAAATTCAGAAAGGATTGTGGTGTGCTTCCTTAAAAAATCATATATTTTTTGTGAGCTGCGTTAACGAGCTGTTTTCGGAATCAATGGACTAAAGTAACGTTAGTTTTACTGGATATCCATAAGGATACTTTAGAACGATCGACTAAATGATTCAATAACTTTGTGAAAGTTTGCAAATTTCAAGGTGATTACGACGAAAAATACCGTTTACAGTTAAAATTAAATTTCTTTCAAACGAAACCATATTCAGGCAAATAAACCTTGATTTCATATGACTGTATAGTACCTGGGCCTACTAATGTACAAAGTATAAGCGAAATCAAATTTTGAGCTCTGTACGCCCGATCTTTGATTCTTACTGACATCTACTGTTAAATATTATATTCCTAACATTCTACAACTTACCATACCGAGTTGTTAACGGTACAAGTACTAAAAACTTAACTAATAGTATACTAATACCAACAGAACCGAAATTCAGGCTCTAGATCTACTTCTCCATTTTGGCTGCGAGAAGCACATACCGATGGTGAATACTGCAGGCACCTTCTTGTACTCTGAGACATGGACATCAATAAAGATAATTCATCGATAGCAACTGACTGACAATGATGAATTCAAAATAACACCGTAATCATCAATTGAAAATGATCTAGGACGTAAATGCTGGGTTCTACTTTGAACTTTAAGTTCATGTTGTTGCTTTTCGCTTCGCCGAGAGACTAAAACTTCCCTTGTAACTCAAAAAACAAAGTTTATAAACATCACAGTACATTTAAAACCAAATGCATTAAGAAGTATTTTTCCAATATTTTTGTAGAGGAAATGAAATTTTTATTAATTCCATCTACAGCATTTCATGAATGATAGGCGGTCGGTTACGTTTTTTTTTCCGCTGGAGCAATATACTTTGTGATTAGTAAGACAAATGCTTCATGGATGTCTCAGGAAAGTTCAGACCAGTATGTTTTCATTTCATCAACTATGCAATAAAAGCGCAATTATTCTGTTAGACCTTTTTCATTATGCACTTGTATATGCCGTATATAGAACCAGATGAAAGAAGGAAAACTTTTGGCAGTAGTAAAAAGAAAACTGTAGGTTTAAGGTCTTGCCAAGACAAGCGAGTCTAAAGAGATTGACAGAACAGTGATACTTGATTGGTAGATTTTAATCCATTGTTTCTTATTGGTCGTTTTAATTTTGATTGGCGGAAGAGCAGTAAACATACTTCATATGTTTTGCTTCAGAGTCTGCTTGTCATTTTGCTACAAAGAAGATACGTGTTCAGTTCAGGTAATTGTGCCATTTTATCACTGTATCAGGGTTTTGATTAGAATTTGTGATATCAGCGAAGACGAAATTGCGTGAAGACTTGAGGGGTCAGTTGCTTAAGGTATCATCCAGGGTAAAAAATCATCATTTTTCTAAATTTGCAATTTTTAGACGATTAAATAGAGCTCATCAAGAGCTTTCTTTTAAAAAAATAATTCCAGGAAAAAATGTTTTTTCTGTGCAGACTTATAGAGTGCAAAAGTTTTTTCAATGCTAATTATTTTAATTGATCGTTGACAAGTCCTGTCATGCTTGATACGGGTGCCGCTGTTGAACCAAGCTAATCACGCAGTTTGACAGAAATCGTGGTTTACAATTATAGTGCTCACTGTTTTTCCCTGGAGTTTGAAAGTGAATGCCTCCAAAGAAGAATTCTTTGGAAGCATTCGATTCTATCAGTTGTGTGGGCTGTGTCGGCTTCAAACATCAGCAGTAGCGCGGTTCAAATTTCCAGTACCCGACAGAGAAAGAATGTTGGAGATAAATCGCGCTTTAAGTGCTGTATATTGTTTCTCGCCGAAACTTTGCAGTTTCTTCAGCAGGGTCTTTATCGGGGAAATATGAATTACAGTCTTCGCCAAAAAGTCCTCTTTAAAGGCGTTTTTAAAGAAAATGAGGGTTATTATGCCTTGGGATAGAAAAGTTTCAAAGAGAGTAAGGCCATTACTAGACTGACAGTCAAAAATCAGTCCAAAATATTATTGGACTAAATCACTATTTTTAAGTGTAGACTCACTGAGTGGTCACATGTTTCATTTCCTTACTCACACTGGATTGATTCAAATTACTTACATAAAATTCCAGTAATAAGTGCTGGTCCTATATAGTGTCTGAGCCTGAGTTTTAATGGACATAGGTTAAACAGGTGCTCACATTATTGTGGCAGATTCCTACCACGCTTCAGTGCGAAGACCATGTTATATATCTTGGGGTCCTATTGGACAGCAATTTAAGCTGGAAATTTCAAATTAATAATGTTGCATTAAAAATAAGCAGAACTGTTGGTGTTGTTGCCCGTCTTAGGCACTTCGTCCCACGTACAACCCTTTTAAATATTTATCAATTAATTGATCTTGCCTTATCTGACATATGGTTTGGCGGCTTGGGGTCAAGCTGCCAAAACCCATTTACAAAAAATTCTCGTGCTTCAAAAACGAGTCCTTCGTTTGATGTACTTTTCTGAACCTAGAGCCCACGCTGTGCCTTTATTTATTTCCTCTAAAATTCTACCCTTACAAATGTTATATGCTGAAAAAGTATCTTCTATAATGTTTGACGTTTGCTGCATGAATGCTCCGTCTAACATTTGTGATTTCTTCACTAAAGCTAATTCAAAGCACAAGCATGAGACCAGGTTTTCTTCGTCTGGAAATTATTATGTCCAAACTTCAAGACTGAATCTAAATCAAGATTCTTTTCCCAGGTTTGGAGCTAAACTTTGGAACGCAATTCCTAACGAATTTCGTCAACTCTCCAAAGGAGCTTTTAAGAAAAATTTTCATGACTTTTTGCTCTCGATAATGGAAGCAGAGGACGATTATGTTGAAGTGCCCATTCTCCTACAAAAAATGGCAAATTTTCCATCCTCGACTCAGTGTACTAATAATCGATAGGTTCTGTTAGTAGTAAATTTGATTGGAATATCATTCTGTAAGACTATATATTTTGTAACTTTAGCTTGTTTTTCAGTAATTCTTATTTATCCAGATAGTTTATTTAGTTACTTTACAATTATATTATCTGTTATGACTGCTGTAACCTTTCCTCTCCGCTCGCCTCGTCTAGCTTTTGCTATTTGCGGGCGGAGATGGCATGTTGATGTGCATGAAATAAAGTATAGTGTGTGTGCAGAGTTTGAAGAGGTATCCTGAGACAATGTTTAGAAATTCTATGGGCTGGCTGGATATTGCACATAAGCTTTAGAAGGCCAGGGGCACCCAACGACGAAGCAAAAATTGCCTAGAATTTTCTATAGCTTGAGGAAGGCTAAAAATTTCTCGATGTCCGTTTCATTCATTTTCAATTTTCGTAAGATATCTAATAAATTCCCTACGATTTTCTAAAGTTTAATTTTTCGCATTTCGGTACCCAAGTTAGCCTATTTTTCGTAGAAAAAGGAAACCTAACATTTTCGGATTCAAAAATGCGATTAAGAGAAGAATCAGAAAAATTCTCACTTTCGTAAAACTTAAAATTGCATCTACAATTTTCGGGAAAATAATAGGAGGCCCTTGTAGTTTCGAAAAGACTCAAGTTGCCTTTGGATGACCAGATACAAATTTTATAGCGCCGCTTAGAATGTATTTCTAGAGATCTGAAAGTACTCTGGATAGAGTAAAAAGTGTTTTCAATGCATTTAGGAGGAAACCATCGTTGGGTGTCCCTGGAAGGTATACAACCTGGATGCCTTTCTAAGAAATGTAACACTTACATTTCAAAATATTAGTACACATATTAGTTCAAATATTAGTTGAAATATTGCTTTAATATCCACGTGATGTCCATTCAGTTTTGTGGAGTATCTGAATAAACGTAACTCGGCGTTCACAAAATGGATTTTGATGTTGTCGTTAAATTTTACCCTTGTTTCAAATTGTATTTTCTTTTGACTTAATTAACTTGTTCTCATACATTGCTGAGTCATAAGAAAATAAAATAAAAACTGAACCTTGCCAACATATCTACATCTCCATAGATGTAAATCTACTCATGTCAGGGTCGCTCTCCAAAAAAAAAACTTTCACCTTAACATTGATTCCAACCACTTCCATTGTACAAACACAAGACAAGAAAAACAAAATATTACTGAACAATGTAGCTGGCCACAAACAGGATGTACATATAAAGCAAAGACAACAATCTGCAAACCAAAGCGAAGACCGGAATAGTGAATGAAACAAGGCTCTTGCAATGGAAAAAACCATACAGGTGCATGAATTTTGACAGGTGCTATTCATGGACACCACAGCTCAAGCATCTTAAACATATTCATATACAGGAGAGAAACCCTACTAGTACAAGTACTGTCAGTGGATATTGGCTCTAGTTGGTCTCCAGATTGCAAGTAGCGTGATGTTACACCCCGGAGGAGGTACTTCCTATTATGGCCCTGTATACAGGGAGGCTTCGCCCTAAAATGGTACCTTTTTCGGGTTTCAGGTACAATGGAACCCACTCTACTGACACCCGCTTAATATATAACGTACATAACGGACAATTTCGTCTGTCCCAAAGAAAACTTCTTTTTTTTTTCGCTAAAATCAATCTGCCTAATACAGACCCCAGTTAATCATAAACCCCGCTTTACAGACACTAGTTAATGCAGACAACGCACACTTTTCTTTGTCTCGAGTCACACTTCCATATACATGTATCATAAACCCCGCTTTACAGTCACTTGTATGTTATTGGCTCATTGTTTATGACTGAATGCAGATCTTGACAGTAACAATCTTACAGAAATGGCGAATGACCTTTTCAATGTTATATCGGTTAACCGAGTTATTCTGGCTTACGGAACTGCGATCTTGAAGCAATCAATAAATTTCAGTGGCTGAATGTATACACGAATAGGCCTTTCTCGATTGCGCTCGTAAAATCCTAAAAACGTGCTGGCAAAAATGGCTAAAAAGTGCTCAAAAAGTGCTCAAAATCTCAAAATAGTGC